CTCGCCCTGCGCCCCTCTGTTACACCGGCGGTCCTCTGCTAGACCGGCGGTCCGGTCCTCTGGTAGACCGGCGGTCCGTGGACTTCAGACCCACTGGGCCGTTGTCCGTTTCAGGTGGACAACGTGACGGTTCTGAACCAGGAGTTCGGGGAGTCCGTCTATGAACCAGGAGCCGCCTTCGTTCTGGCCCAGTTCGACGGGGTTCTGGGCATGGGGTACCCCTCCCTGGCAGAAATCCTGGGAAACCCCGTGTTTGACAGCATGATGGCCCAGAAGTCGGTGGACGAGGACGTGTTCTCCTTCTACCTCAGCAGGTGCAGAAGTTCAAGTCCTCGTCCTCAGATTCAGGAAGTGCGAGTCCTGCTGGATGACATCATCACCAAAGTTGTTGTTGTTTCTGCAGGAAACAGGAGGGGGAGCTGATGCTGGGGGGCGCAGACCAGGCCCTGTACACTGAACCCATTAACTGGATCCCAGTGACGGCCAAAGGATACTGGCAGATTAAGATGGACGGGTGAGGAGGTCATCCTTTAAGGGGGGAGGGGGGGGGTGATTTAACCCACTCTGGGAGTCGAACCCACAACCTTCAGCTGACCCACAAATGTCGACAGGATAATGATTTTAGTGAATGTTGGACCAGGTGACCTCCTCTGTACTTCATCAGTCTACTGCGTTCTCAGATTACTACAAACTCGCAGTACTACTCTGTTGCAGTGTGGCGGTGCAGGGCATGAGTTCCTTCTGCCCTCGTGGCTGTCAGGCCATCGTGGACACAGGAACCTCCCTGATCGCCGGGCCGACCGCTGACATCCTGCAGCTGCAGCAGCTGATCGGAGCCACGCCCACAAACATCGGAGAAGTGAGGCCACGCCCACAACAAGTTCCAGAACAGTTTTAAACAAGAATCAGTTCCAACCGTCGACTGCTGTGTCCACAGTTCCTCATCGACTGCGTCCGGTTGGCCAGTCTGCCCCATGTGACCTTCGCCTTAGGAGGCAGAGAGTACACGCTGACGGCCGAGCAGTACGTACGCAAGGTAGGAGCGGAACTGTTGCTGTTTGGCCTCCAGGACAGGTGGGGGTGCTGATGGTGCGTCCGTGTCCATCTGTAGGAGATGCTCGGTGACAGAGAACTGTGCTTCAGTGGGTTCCAAACCGTGGACATCGTGTCCCCCGAGGGCCCGCTGTGGATTCTGGGAGACGTATTTCTGACGGAGTACTACAGTATCTTTGACAGAGCTCAGGACCGGGTCGGCTTCGCCCCCGCGAGACACAGAGGAGAGTTCAGTTCTGGAGAATAAAGCAGTTCAAACCCAAACTGGCTCTGAGCCTCTTAGCTTAGCTTAGCTTAGCTTAGCTTAGCTAGCATGGTCCTGTCTTCACAGACTCTCTTCTTTGGTTTGTTTTACTGGGGTACGAACACTAGGTGGTGTCAAACCCCAGGTGCTGGTACTAATCACGAATCAGACATGAATAAAAGATGAAAAAGAACTGAAGTTCAGAGGAACAAACATCTGACTGTGACTGATAGTTTCTTACTCCTCCTCCTCCTCCTCCTCCTTCTTTTTCTTCTTCTTCTTCTTCTTCTTCTTATCAAACATCAGACCGTCTCGTTGGTTCCTGAAGGCAGCAGCAGAAGGAGCTGCTTTTTCCTCAGCAGTGAACGCACCAGAGCGGAATCTCTCCGACAGAAACTTCTTTAACTGTTACTGCTGCTGCTGCTGTTGCTGCTGTTGCTGCTGTTGCTGCTGCTGCTGCTGCTGCTGCTGTCGGTTCATTCATCAAATTCACAGCGGGAGAAATTCTTTTTATTTTTATGCTCGAATCTTCCTCGGTTGGTTCCGGTCAGGTGTTCAATCTGAAGCCCTGAGAAATGAGCCGCCGTCGGTCCACTCTCCTCCGGTTCATTTCCACACTCCTGCTCTCTGTGTTTTCTGCCCACGGGTGTCAGCTGCCCTCCGAGTGGCGGCCGCTGAGTGAGGGCTGCCGGGCGGAGCTGGCGGAGATCATCGTGTTCGCCCGGGTCCTGGACATCCGCCCGCAGCCCCGCGGCGTCGAGTCGCTCTTCTCCGGCTTCGGTGCGGAGGAAGGGCTGCTGTACTCGGCTGAGGTGGAGCTGCTGTGTGACCAATCCTGGGGCAGCATGTTGGAGGTTCCGTCTGGATCCAGACTCAACCTGACGGGACTCGGGTACCTGCCGTGTCAGTCCCACACCGTGACGGAGAACGAGTCCTACTTCTTCTTCCTCAGGTCAGAGCCAGCGACCAGACAGCTAGTCCAACCAGGGGTTCTCGGACCCCTTTTGGTACATGTTGGCAGTGTGTACAGATAATCTAAGAAATACAACTGTGTATTCTGGAGTACTGCAAACTCGCTGTTATATTCAACGTCTGTCCCCTGGTCCCCTGGTCCCCTGACTGTCGATGGTCCGACTCTTCTCCACAGGATGGATGAGAACTACAACATCCTGCCTCACAGCATCAACTTCCAGGACGCCATTTTCCCAGATACGGCGGAGAACCGACGCACGTTCTCCGGCCTCTTCCAGTTCTCCAACTGCACCCAGGAACGCCCGCTGATCCACGGCTTTGGCCAACTGTGGGACCAGCAGGAGGACAGCAGGGTAGGACACACACACACACACACACACACACACACACACGTACGTTCTTTTTCTCCAAACATGATGGTAAGTGATCTTTGGGTTCTCAAACTAGGGTGCTCGTCCCACTGCTGGTACATGTCTTAGTACCGCCCTCTATGGTCACAGCTTTGTTATGATTGGTCCGTTCAACCATTGGTCCACAAACCCACGTAGTTGACTCTGGACCACGCCCCCTCCTGGCTGTTAGATGATGAAAAAAGAGTT